GTGGTAGCACGCGCTGTAATTCCGGCTACTTGGAAGGCTGAGGCGGAAGGATTGCCGGAGACCAGCAGGTCGAGGCTGCGGTGGCCCGGGAGCGGCCACTGCACTCCAGTCTGGGCGACAGAGTAAGACTCCAACTCAAAAAAAAAAAAAAATGTGTGTACATTTTTTGGTACCCTCAAATTGGCACCCTGTGTGTATGTGTGTGTATTAACACACATAAAGCTAAATAGCTTCTGACATTTTTCCTTTCTTCCTTGATGTAATAGAAATACCCTTTTCTTTAATAATAATTTTTTTAAAAAGGCTAATGCCACATTTTAGTTTTGAAAGATCCAGAATTAGAAATGTAAAAAGCATGCTTCTCCTAAAAATATTCTCTAAGTCATAGTAAGAAATTCCTAAAATTGAGATTTAGCATAACACACACACAAAATGAATCTGTTCATGGAAAGGAATTGTGTTTCAGTAATTACAAACGAGACCTGGAGTGGGGTTCTTGCCAGATCATACAGGCCTAATTAGTTTATTACTCTGTATCTCTAGTTTCTCCACTGAGAAGAGATAACCAGCTTATACTACCCAAATCATATTTTTAAGTGCTATATGATACCTGGATAAAAGGGTCTTTGAAACTATAAGTTTCTGTTCCATTATGGCTAAATCAACTCAAACTAATACATTTTCCTGGTCCCTCTAAAAAATCCAAAGGCAATCAGATTTTTTTTTCTTTCTGAGCAAAGTCCAGGGTTAGGGGTGTGTGGAATAGCTAAAATATGATTTTATTAGGTGCTCCTTAGATTCTCCAAATAAGGTAGACTTTTATGTTCAAGTATTACCTCACAGTCCTAGGGTATTTTAGCTAAAATTTTAAAAGTACAATCTAATGATTTAATATTACTTTCTATTATAAAATCTAACAAGTGCTAAAGTAACAAGCAATTCAAAATTTAAAATAATAACAAAATTGAATATGAAATAGTGATGGTTTGCAAATTTTGGGGACTCACCAGTTTGACACTTTTGAAAAAACTCAAATATCCATTTTACTAATTATTCTAAGTGAAAATAATAATAATAATAATAAAGCAGGTCTCTTTTTATCCTTCCAAGTCTCTTAATCTTGCATGTCGCATCTGAGTCACCTATGAAGTTTTCAACAGTACCAAATGTCTGGGCCTCATTATCCAGGGGTCTTGATTTGCCAGGCTGCACTTTTAAAGACTCTTTATTCTAATATACAGAAAACTGAGAAAACCACTAGCTAGAAATACGACTCTACTCACTTTAAGGCAGTTGTTTCTCAAGCTCAACACTTGCAACATTTCTGGCCAGATAAATCCTTGCTCTGGGGTCTGTCCTGTGCATTGTAGAATGCTTAGCAGCATCCCAAGCCTCTACCCTACAAATACCAGTAACATCCTCTTCCTCAGTGTGACAACCAAAAATATCTCTGGGCATTGCCAAATGTCACCTGGTGGCAAAATCAAATCCAGCTGTGAGCCACTGCTCCAAGGAATGAGAAGTGGAAAATACTATCAGGACAGTAGTCTTCAATGGACACACAGGTATTTTAGGGGAGCAGACCTATTCTGGCAACTGCGAGTAGGTCTATCCCAGTCATGGCTTAACCTCTCTTAATCCTTCTTTAAAGTAGTTCATTATCTGTCCCCCTTTCATTCCTCATTTCTCCTCCTCTGAATGCCTGAAGCCACTCTTCATCTATTTTCAGTATAAAAAGAATTTCCCTCCTTGACATCCCATTTGCCTTTAATCTTGCCAGTACTTTCTCCTCCACTCCTAAGGACGTTCTCTATACCTTCATTAGGTTTACATTCAAACAGCTCCCATCCAGAGACCCTGAGTGGTAGGTAGCAAATGGAGACAGCAGAGACAACTCCAGCAACTGCTTTGCAGCAAAACTAGGTCTCTCTCTTTTTCTGGCTACCACAGCCTTGAAGATTAATACTTTGAAAGGATGACCTTTTCCTGACTGAATTATGCCCTGTCTGAAGGCAACAAGTCCAGGAAGCAGGAAAACATAACTCCTGTCAATAACGTATTGTGACACTTCTGTCTTCTGATAAGGCTTTTGTTGATGGGCTTCACTAGGTCTCTAATAAGCCTCTGTAACTATTTTAAAAGGTATCTATCACATAGATAACTGTCTAAAGCCTACAAAAAAACTGCTAATTGAGAGAAAGGTTCTATTCTATATATTAACAATTTCTCAGGATTCTCCAGACTCTAATCCAAGTGTCAAGTTAGTTTACAGAACTATCTACCTCTCTGGTCCTTATCTCTCTACCACAGAATTATTTTTACAGTATTATGGCATTATACCTTTGGCATTTTTCTATAGAGCAGTAAAATAGCCATATGTGTACTATATATATATATATATTTTTTTTTTTTAATTACCACGGAAGAAAGTTTCCACTATGTTGTTCAATGTCCTTTATATGCAGACATGTGATAAATTCTTCTAGAAACTAGGAGGCAATAACCTCTTCCCTGAGTAAGTGGTACATTTCCTATTACTGTTTTCCTTGGGGTTTAGCTAGGAGAACAGACTTGAATTCTTTAGCCCACTTTGGTAAAATTCCCTCAGCAAAGAACTTAAGACCGTTTTCCTCTATCCCAATTTGTGCTTCATCTTGTTATTTTTGTGTTAATGATTCTCAAGTGAGTTTTGAGTACGGGTTGCTGAAGATCCATACTGGAGATAAGCAGGCTTACGAATGTGGGTGTTGAAATTGATGGACCTGGTAAATATGGACGTTTCCTAAAGTTCTGATGTTCACTACTGGCTTGGAGAACACTTCAAAAAGTGCATCTGAAATCCATTCCTCCGGGCCAAATTCTTCGGAATGTTTTATAACTTACTGAAGAATAAGAAATAGAACTTCACATGTAACAAGATATATATAATGGGCACTACATAATGGAGGGTTGGACAAAAATCACTATGAGGAAAGAGAAATAGAATCGCATCTCTCTACATCCAAGCGGGTGGGTCACGAAATTTATGTGCTGCAATTCCTGCAGCAGGCTCCTCAAACGTCCTACGGTCCTCTCCTGTTCTGAGAGGAAAAGTAAACTTCACCCCGTTACCATTTACTGGGGCTCTGGCTTTGAGAAGAGCACTGAACTAACTGGGTTCCCAAGCGGGCTCCAGGACCCAACTTGGTGGGCTGCGGCGTCATCACCCTCCCAAGCACATCGGCCTCCCCCTAAGTGGGAGACCCAGCCCTACGCTGTCTTTCATTTCCCGATGCTGGCTCTTTTCTCGCTGTTTTCCCGGGGCTTACACCCAGACTTCGCCCCATCTGAGACCGGATGTCCCCAAACGCTCCACTTTGATTCGCCTGCTGTCCCTGGCTCCTCTGCGGTCACTGTGGAAGCCAAACACAACTCCGATGTATTTTCTCGGAGTACGGCCGTCTTCCGGGCTCGAGGCATCAGGTCCTGTCTCTCTCTCTCAGCTCTCAGGGTCCCGAGCCCCCCAATTGGGGCATCTTCGATATCGAACCCTTTCCCCCAACTCCAGGTGGGCTCCCAGATCGGCCTCCCTTCCCCACACCCCCGCGCGCCCAGGGGTCCGACGGCCACGACTTCGACCCCAGGCCCCGATCCACCCACCTCCTGGACGTCGCGACCCAACCACCCCTCGCCGGGTCCTCGGACCCCGAGTCCGACGACGCCCCCCCCCCGTCTCCCCCCCGGCCCTGGTCGGCACGGCCCCCACGCGTCCGCACGCACCCACTCGTTGGCCCGATGGCCGAAGGTGTACAGAGCCACCTGGCTGGCCACGTCCACGATGCGGTTGATATAGGGGTCGTGGCGCTGCAGGGCCGCTAAACTGATGTCTCGCCCCTTCCCCACCGGGCCGCCCGCCGCCGCCGCCGCCGCCGCCGTCGCGGCCGCCATCTTCCCTCCCTCCCGACATCAACACGGGGCCCCCGGCAGCCGCGCTCAGCGGATCGCACAGCTAGCGAGCCGCCTCGCCACCGAAACCCCGCGGCGACCACGAGCCCGGGGAGACCTTCCGGCTCCAGCCACCCCCCCCCCCACGCCCCCCGCGCCCTGCTTCCCGCCGACGGATGCGAGGCATCACTAATCGGTGGCCGCGCTTCCCCCGCCGAGGATCGTTGCCATAGCAACGGCAAGCCCGGGCCTGCCCGCGGCATCCCAGTTTTTTCCTCCTCCCAAGAGCTGTTCCCTTTCGCCCCGAGCTTTTAGCTGCGCGCGCGGCAGGCTCTTCCCCCTCTCGGATGGGTTTGGCGCCTCGGCGAGTCTTTGCTTTGGCGCTTCGGCGATCAAGCCTGGAAACGATAAATAAGCCTCAGGAATGAATGCCTCAAGAGAAAGAGCACTGTGGTTTCTGACGGCACCGGTGCCCACCGAGTGGTTCTCAAAGTGTAGACGTGGAACCCCCTTGACAGTTTCTGAGCCCCTATCAGGGGATCGGCAAGGTCCTCAACACAGTTTTTTGGGGGGTTTTTTTTTTTGGGTTTTGTTTCTTTTTTGTTTGGGGCGATGCCAAGACTTATTTGACTTGCTCACTGTGATGACGTGGCAAACTGGTGGCCAAAAGTGCAGTGGCTCCACATAAATCAAGGCCGGGGCACCGAACTTGTCAGTGTGTGTATGCGTCACTGCCCTGCATTCTCAGTACCAAGAAGAAGAAGAGGAGGAGGCCAGAGCCAGTGTCACGTGAGCGTATTCTTGGTAAAGCAGTAAAAAGTATTAATTTTATGAAAGTTCAATCCTTGAGGACACTTCTTTTTAATATTAGGTGTGAAAAAGCAGCACGTGTGCATAAAGCAGGTCTGCTGCGTCCCAAAGTGCCATTTTTGTCTTCAGGAGATTATTTCAGTGCTGGAGTGTGAACTGAACTCGCGTTTTTATTTTTACTTTCACCAAAGACATTTTTGCTAGAAAGAAAGATGGGTAAACTATGGTTAGTCACACAGGTGTTTGACAGACATTTTTTTCCAAAAATGAAGTATGTCTGTTGCTTTCAGGAGAACAAGGGGTGGTTAGTGTTGCCGATGAAAATTTAAAGTCTTCCAGTCGAATCAGAAGTTTAGAAAACGTGTGTCTGTTGCCATGAGCTTGACAGTTTCTCAGTATGTAGTCTTTTCTGATGAGATTAGGTTTTTTTTGAGTTGGAGTCTCACTCCGTCGCCCAGACTGGAGGGCAGTGGCCGCTCCTGGTCACCGCAGCCTCGACCTGCTGGGCTCCGGCGATCCTTCCGCCTCCGCCTTCCGAGTAGCCGGAATTACAGGCATGCGCTACCACGCCCGGCTGATTTTTTGATTTATTGTAGAGATGAGGTCTCGCTGCCCCGGCGGGTCTCGAACCCGCGGGCTCAGGCGATTCACTCACCTCAGCCTCCCAAAGGCGCGGGATGACAGGCTGAGCCACCGAGACCAGCTGAGTGCAACTTTTGAAAAATATTGTATAATGAAAAATGTCAACTGCTTAGCTCAGTGACCCAATATTTCCCAAACGACCAACGTCTGACATTACATAATCATGCCTAGGTAGATGATCCATTCAGGGACAGGATGAATGAATGGATTTTAATATAACTGAGTATGAAAAGTTAAGAGACAAGATTTCAGATAGCACATTGCAGCTAAGCTTTAAAAAACTGCTACTTGTCAAGTCTTGATGTATTATTCCAAAAATCCACAATTATCTGAAAAGGCTATGAAAATATCCATTCCTTTTCCAACTACACTGCAAGGCCAGTTTCTTGATATACATCAAACAAAACATACAGCAATAAATTATAGGCAGAAACAGATATGAGGATCTGACTGTCCTCTGTTAAGCCAGACATTAAAGATATTTGTAAAAATGTAGAAGAATGCTACTTTTCTTACTAATTTTTTTGCTTTAAAAAAATTGCTTTCATAAAAATATATTTATATTTAATATTATTGTTATTTTAAATGAGTGAATAAATATTTTTAAAGTTATCCATTTTAATGTTCAATACAGTGAATATAGATAGATACAACACACATAAACATTAATTATTTGAGGAAGTCCTCAATAATTTTTAAGAGTGTAAAGAGGTCTTGAGACAAAGAAGTTGAGAACTGCTGATCTAAACCATTTATTTAGCATTAAATATTAGAACAATTGCACAGAAATCTCTGCTCACATTCATGAATTCTTACTATGTGATACAAAAATATCATAGACAGGCACATGTAGCCTCTTGAAGAAATAAATTGCAATATGATCTTTACAGTCACAATTTCAATTTTGTGAAATTCTTGGTTAAGCTCTCTTTTGGATCCTTAGATATATCGACTCCAAGCCTAACTTCCCAATGCAGTGGCTTTCATACTTTTTTTTTTACTATGGCTGGGTCTTATTTGCAGTCTGACCCAGAACATACATTTATATATTTTTACTTGACATTAACTAAAATAAAAGTTTTGTGAAGCAATACTAAGTGATATAGATAGACAGATACACCTATATTTACATATATATTTCATTTTTTTAAATGCTGGTTGGGATTCTCTAAACTGATTTCATGACTAACTAATAGCTTGTGACCTGCAGTTTGAAAAACATAGACCCGTGGCATCTGAACAACAGCACAAAACTGACTAGACAACTTCCCATGTTAATCCACTACTTTGTTTCTAGTATTACTGAGTTCTCTTTGCTCTTGATCACATATGTACTTTTAGGAACAAGTTTAATTTGTGAGATGGGTAATGGAGAATTTTGTGATTAACTCGTGAACTAGTCTGACACTCTCTCACTAGATTAGCTGTTCTAATTGTGGGTATTCAGCATAAACTCACAGATTCTACCTTGCATTCCCCTCACTCATACAAGGAGGACCCCCCAAAACTGGAATTATCTTTTGGAGGGTGGGCCCGTTGTAGTACCGGCTTCTCCTGCTCGGTAAATGTTCTAGGAAACCACTGGCATCGGTGTAGCATCTAGCATTGTTTTAAGTGGCCGTGTCAGCTTCAGGAATTTTTTTTTTTTTTTTTTGGAGATTCTTTAACACATCTGCCCATTTCACGAAGGATGATTTATGAGCGCACCTCCTCACAACCGCACTGAATGTTCAGCAGTTTTTGACCAAAAACAGCATGATTCCTGTGCCCTACTCTTCCTATTCACCTGGTTTCACCCTGAGTGACTTTTTTTGTTTCCCCGATGGAAAATAGTCCTCAAAGGAAAACATTTTGCCAGTGTGGAAGAGGTGAAACAAAAAACAGCAGGAGCACTAAAAGGAATCAAAATTGACAAATTCAAAAACCGTTTTGAGCAGTGGAAAAAGCGTCTCAGTAGGTGTATTGCATCAAACGGAGAGTACTGTGAAGACAACTGAAGTTTAAACGTGTAAGAATGAATACACAACTTTTAATAAATAAATTCTGGAGTTTTGGGGTCTCCCTCCTCATAGAATGGGACGTCGCTGTCTTTTTCCCCAATTTTTGCCCCTTAAATTCCACGATCCTTATACAGATCACTTTCCTTGTGATTTTTCAGTCTTTCTATCCTTACGTGTAAAGAACAAATCCTGGCCCCCAGCTTAACAGAGAAGACAGGCAATAAGGGGATCATGATAAAATCCTAAATATTCATAAAGTAAAAATGTCTGGTAGACTTAGTGACCTATATGACTGCCCACTTGATGCAATTCATTCATTCATTTTTCATGATTTATTGTTGCTTGTGTGTGCTGAAGTTACAATGTCATATTGTCCTCAGTCCCTGATCTCTTCCATGAGCAAGATGAACATATCATTACTCTACTTATTGATAGATTCACATATGTAAAAGCATACCAATATGAGTCCTAGTAAAGAATTAAAGAAGGCAACAACCCATTACCTGCTTCAACTTTCTTGTCTGTAAACTTTCTCCCAAGTATCTTATACATTCCCATCTCTGTGTCTTTGCTCAGTTGTTCCCTAATCTTGGAATAACCTTTTCCAGAAAACTCACCTCCTGCCTCCTTCTGCCAAAAAATCCTTTCATTCTATGAATCCTCAGTGCACTCTGTTGCCATTTGTCTTATGATACTCAACTCACTTATCCTGCACTAGAGTGACTTAATTAATTAGTTAATAGGGTATATATGAGGGTGACCCCCCCAAAAAACTCTGGAATTTATTTATAAAAAATTGTGCATGTATTCTTCCATGTTTAAACATCAGACACCTTCAAAGTACTCTCCGTTTGATGCAATGCACCTATTGAGATGCTTTGTCTACCGCTCAAAACAGTTTTTGAACTCATCCATTTTGATGCCTTTTAATGTTCTGCCTTTTTTGGTTTCACCTCTTCCACATCGGCAAAACGTTTCTCTTTGAGGACTTTTTTCATCCGGGGAAACAACAACAGCAAAACAAAAGTCACTTGCTGTGAGATTAGATGAATAGAGAGGGTGGGGCCCAAGGGTCACGGCATTTTTGGTCAAAAACTGGTAAATATTTAGCAAGGTGTGAGCAGGTGTGCTTGTAAATCACCTATCATGAAATGGGTAAATGTGTTGAAAGAATCTCCAAAAAAAAAAAAAAAGTTCCTGAAGCTAAATTCAGCCTCTCACAAAAAACGCTAGCTGGTACACTGATGCTAATGGGTTCCTAGAACACTTACCTAGTGGGGGAAGCCTGCTGTATAAGGGGCCCACCCTCTAGAAAAATAATTCCGGTTTTTTGGGGTCCCCCTCACATTGTTTTCTTCAATTCTAAAAAGGACCAAAGAAGTCATCATAATTATAGAGGATTGTTACAGAAAATCTAGTATGAAAACAGTTATTGAAATTGAATGATACATTTAGCTTTGAGTTTCTTGACAGCTAAGTTAAAGGGGAAATAGTAAATTGCATACGTTTTTATTTCCTTCCTGTTTATCATCCTGTAATCTCCCTAGCACTTGGACCAATGCCTGTGAACATTGAAGATTCAGAAAATGCTTATTCTATTGAACTAAACCATGAGTTAGTTGAATTTACTCATGAAATGTCAGCATTTTTAA